TGTGTGTCTGTCTGTCTGTGTGTGTGTGTGTGTGTGTGTGTGAGAGATCATGCTGACGTGTATCTCGCGCGTGTCCTTCACCTTTAGCACTGCTGCTCTTTACTCCAGCGGCTGCTGACTGACGGATTGCGCAACACCAGCGCTCATTCATTCATTCACACCTCCGATGATGATGATGATGATGATGATCAGAAACGCTCTGAATATGAACACTGACTCGTGTGGACGCCTCACCTGAGACCCACCTGCTGACTCTTCAGTGGCTTGACTTAGTTTGCTGCTGATTATCTGCCTCAAAAAAAGCTTATTTTGAATGAACTTTCTACATGCTCTGGTATCAAATGCTTCAATCCTGATAAGGTTTTATCGCAGAGTTGCTGTATGGTATTGCATTACAAAACAGGTTGGAAGATAAAAGTTACGGATGTTCATTATGACAAGGTGTAGTTCTGTAAATAAAATAAAAAATTACATTGAAATCATAGCTCATGTACAGAACATTACATACGGCCAAATAATTCATTAGTAATCAGTTTGATGGCTTAATCAGATCAGAAGATTGAGCTTGATCTGAGTGAAATCTGATTAGAGTGTAGACACTGAAATATGACTGCTTCTGAGTCGGATTCAGTAATACATGAAGCACATGTGCAGTGCCATGATTAGGATGTTTACATATGTTTCACATCTTCCAAACATGCACATGTGTGTTTAATTCTGTTTAATGAGCTGGCCAGTAGTATTTGCAAATAAAAAAAAGCTGTTCTGAAATATTGGTCAGCTTTGTTTATTAATGTGTCATCCAGGCAAATACAACCCTGCGACTGAAGAACTGCACACTGCGTCTAATACACATGTGACTGAATGTGTTCATATAAACAAAACTCTGAAATCAGATTGGTCTTAAGTTTTAATTCTCCAATCCACAAATTAAGGCTTTAAAAAGATCTTAAAGCAAAAAGTCGTAAATGTGTAAATTCATGGCATTAAATGTTGCATGCAATGCAAAAAAATGTTTTGTTTTCCGAAACGCGACAGAATCGCTCAAATATCACAGCCATTCAGAAGCACACTGCACTCCCGACGAAATGGACAAGTTTATCATCTAATATTAAACCTTTGAACATTATTAAAAGTACTGAGTGACTGATACCATCTGTGTGCTTTAATTTATTTTCCAGCTCTGAGGTAATCTGTGTTGCTGCTTTCAGTGTAGCTATAGAGGTCACACAGAATGATATTCAAACTCACATTAGATGCTTTTAACACTGAATAAAGCACATAATCAGTACCTGAGGTTATCACTGTCATAGTTTGTATGTTGTTGTTCCAGCCGTGACGTCAGAAATAGAAACGTTGCGTGTAATCGGGCTGATTAGGACAAAAACTCTGATTAACATGGGAAAGATCCCTTTTATCACGTGTTGTTAGGACACGGTGTGAACATCCTTAAATCAAGATACATTCACTGCAAATGAAAGTCTTCTATTTTAACTAAACAACGTGAAGCGAGTTCATGCTTAAGAACGTCATTTTTCTCAGATTGACAGATATTTGTTCTTGAAGCGTAAAGTTACTGAATTTTGATCAGTTTGACAGAAAACAAGACTTATTTTGCTTCTCAAGTAAATGTGTCTTGATTTAAGAAACATAAGACATTTAAACTAGAAAACAAGACAAAAAATACTTTTTTGGTAATGTATTAAAATGTAATGAACATCAGATGGAAGTTGTGTTTTCAAACTTTGAAATGTTACTAATGCAACTCATTCTGGACATTTACATCTAGAGATCTTTAATGATGTTTGTGCTCCCATCCGGGTTTTTTCCCTTTAAGTATTCTTTATTTGGTCTTAAATGGGTCTTAAATTATTCTCATAAAACCTGCAGAAGCCCTGTGTAACCACGTCTGCTTTTATGGACATATTTCATCTGGTGCAGTGCATCAAACGCTTCACATGCATAACTCTGTTCATCTTCATCTGCTCAGACTTCTTCACACTCACCTGTGACCTCTACATTTCATTTCTGATTGTGTTTATCTTTAATGATCATAACGTTCTGCTCCGAGACGTTCAGACATTTCTGTGTGTATTTACTCGACACACTGCAGAACAGCAGAAATGCAGAGAAATCCATCGTTTGAACCCCAAATGTTTCCGCACTTTTAGTGATTGGATTAATCCTATTCAGTACATACTCAAAACGGCTGAAGTTTGACCTGTTAAATCTCTTAATACGTCTATTTCTTTTCAGAAGTTCCACGGCCTGGATATGTCCTTCATATTTGATTGGATTTATAGTGGTTTCAGTAGCGTTCTGCAGTTCCTGGGTAAGTTCCTCTCCAAGTTCATTCGTTAAAAACACGGGTTTCCAGATCGCAACCCAGCTTACTTTGGTAGTGTGAAATATTTCAACAACAGAAACGTAGTGTGTGTGATTTGATGCAATTCTCCAGGAGGTGTTTGGGTCATGGAAAGTGAATGTTTTGTACAGAAATGCATTATCCAGCAGCCTGCAGAGCTACATCAGTAGAACACGTCATTTCATTCGCCACTGTGTGATAGTTAATCATACTTAATCATAAGTACCATTCAATTGGATAAAATCATTCTGTTTCAGGGCTGTACAAGAAGTCTGGCAAGTTAGTATTCCTCGGTCTGGACAATGCTGGCAAAACGACGCTGCTGCATATGCTCAAAGACGACAGACTGGGTCAGCATGTGCCAACCTTACACCCCAGTAAGTGACCGTTTCAGCACACACACCCAACAGAGATTTCACTTTCAGTCTTCTCTGAATGCATCTGTAGCCTGAAAACCCCAGCAGCTGAGACGGCCTGCATGTTCACTGTAGCATACGTGAAAACAGCATTGTGTGGTCTTTGTTTGAGAAAACATGGTTCCCAGTGAGCACAAACGTTCAGATTACTGATGCATCATTACAGTGTTTACTTCCGTTTTAGTCATGTTTTTAACAGTTTCTTCATTGGTGATGGCATTACAGAATTCAGAAGTTATTTATGTTACAAGTTTAAGTAAAAGTGGTTTCAGTCGGAGGCCGGATGTGGACAGGAATAATCCCTGCGTGTGTTTCTCCTCTCAGCCTCAGAGGAGCTGACGATTGCTGGCATGACCTTCACCACGTTCGATCTGGGTGGCCACGCTCAGGGTGAGTAGACGGATCCACACCTCGCCGTCTGCATCAGATCACGTGTGTGCTCAGTGTTGTGTTTCTGCACAGCTCGACGAGTGTGGAAGAACTACCTCCCAGCCATCAACGGCATCGTCTTCCTGGTGGACTGCGCAGATCTCACCAGACTGGCCGAGTCCAAAACAGAGCTTGATGTGAGACAACTAACCATTATTTTGATAATTAATTAGTCCAGGGGTGTCCAAACCTGTTCCTGGAGGGCCACTGTCCTGCAGTGTCTAGTTAAACACACCTGAACCTGCTAATCAAGGTCTTCAGACTCACTAGTGTGCTGGAGCCGGTTTGGACACCACTGGGTTACTCTGTCAATTACTACTTTGATTAACCGGATGGAAAAAATATTTTCATTTAAAAAGTTATTTACAAAGTTTTTATTCCACATCCTGCCCAATGTTGATCTTCAAACAATATGCAATTTAAGCAATAAAAGCACATCTCTGTTTATGTAGGGTTAGAATTAAAATTTAGAAATGTGAAACATTTGAATTGAAATAAATTTTTTCTTTAACATTTTAAAATCTCATTTAAAATAAGAGGTTAATTTAAAATGAAAAGTTCAGCTACTTTGATTAACCGGATGGAAAAAATATTTTCATTTAAAAATAGTTATTTACAAAATTTTTATTCCACATCCTGCCAAATGTTGATCTTCAAACAATATGCAATTTAAGCAATAAAAGCACATCTCTGTTTATGTAGGGTTAGAATTAAAATTTAGAAATGTGAAACATTTGAATTGAAATAAATTTTTTCTTTAACATTTTAAAATCTCATTTAAAATAAGAGGTTAATTTAAAATGAAAAGTTCAAAATAAGGGGTTAAAGTTTAACCTGGAAAATTTAAAAATGTGAAATAAGGGGTTAAAATTTAAACGGAAAACATTTTAAAATGTAAAATAATGTGTACAAATTTTACACTGAAAACAAGGGGTTAACATTTAAACTGAAAAAATGTAAATGTAAAATAAGGGGTTACATTTAACAGAAGATTAAAATATAAAGTAAGGAATTAAAATTTAAACGGAAAACATTTTTAAATGTAAAATAATGGGTAAAAAATGTAAACGTAAAACAAGGGGTTAACATTTAAAGTGATATTTAAATGGGGGTTAAAATTTAAACGCACCAATTTTAAAATTTCAAATCAGCGGTTCAAATTGTGGCTTTCAAATAAGCTGAAAAGTCAAATAAGGGGTTAAAATTGTATAAACCGAAATATTTGTTTACTTAAAACAAGAGGTTAATATTTAAACTGAAAAATGTAAAATAAGGGGTTAAATTTAAACCAGGTCAATGTTGGTTCATTGAAGTCTGTGAAGTTTAAAGTCGGGGTGTACTGCTATTTCCACGTTCCACTCCGTCTGGCGCACAGCTGTGGATGGGTGAGTTCACATGCGCAGGGCCACCTAGTGGACTGTTTCTGTCGCAGCGCTGGTGTGCGCTCACTGGTGTGTGCGAGGACACTCCTGATGACCAACATTACCTCACATGAGCAGTGTGCGATGACCGAAGTATACTTGGGCTCAACGGTGACTCATGAGCCTTTATGCAATAAGCAAACATTTGAAGTGTCTTGATTCATCATGTATCTCATGTCTAATGCATACTGTACCTGTGTTTGTTGTGCTGGATATAAATAACAGGCACTAATGACAGATGAAACCATCGGAAACGTGCCCATCTTGATCCTCGGCAACAAGATCGACAAACCTGAAGCCATTAGTGAGGAGAAACTGCGTGAGATCTTTGGCCTGTACGGTCAGACGACGGGAAAGGTAAGACTCGGCACTCTTATAGCGCTTCATGAGAACATGATTGTTTGAGAACGGAGGCCACTGTCCTGCAGAAACGAAACACGAATCGAATTGTTGTTCGTCTCTTCAGGGCAACATTCCTCTGAAAGAGCTGAACACGAGACCCCTGGAGGTGTTCATGTGCAGCGTGCTGAAGAGACAGGGCTACGGCGAGGGCTTCCGCTGGCTCTCACAGTACATCGATTAGAGGAAGAAACACACGTCTCGACTCCCACAGACTGATATCGTTCAGTTCATCAACTCTTTTCTCACATTATTTCTTACGAAAACTGATTCTGCGGATGTGGTAAACTCCAAACAATGCATCTTTGCGTTCACGTCAGTTTTATCTACTCTCTAATTTGATGTTTTCTCTCTCTGTTTATCTGTAAATGATTCTTCATGTGTACTGATAACACCACTTCAGAAAGAGCTGATAGACATGTACACCGCTTCACATCACATACTTCAAACAGGAAGTGCTTTGACTTCTCTCCAGTGTTTCATTTCCTGTCATGAGGCTGCAGTCCTCGGGCTTTAACATGAGGTCGTGACCGTCTGGTCGTGTTGAATTGCATATGTTTTCTGTTGTCCCAAAAAAATTAAAACAATTGTACGCAGTCCTCGGGCTTTAACATGAGGTCGTGACCGTCTGGTGAAGTGGCCGTGTTGAATTGCATATGTTTTCTGTTGTCCCAAAAAAATTAAAACAATTGTACTGCCACATTCAGAAACTCATTCCCAAAGCTACTGTAAACTGATCGAGACAATAGTTGTTTTTCTTTTTTAATATGATTTGGTATTGAAGACCGGCACGGCAGTAAACCTGGATCATTACAAGTGTCTCAGTTGAGCGAGAGAAGCATGCCTTGCACACAAACAGAGATTATTATTCTATTTAACGGCTAATGACTAGTAACATGATGGTGAAAAGTGCACACACACACGAGCGTGCCGCTTAGAGCTGTTGTGTAGCTGGAGAGCAGAGCTTGAACAGACCGGACAGCAGTTAATCAATGACAGGGACAAAATGTCATTTATATGGATTTTCTTTAAGCTGTCCTTGAATAGCTCTTAATTTGAGATGAAAAAAACATTATGCATGCCTTCTTCCATGATTATTGATTTTTATTAGTGTTTTTTTTAATAATAAACACATAACATAGTGTAAAAACATCTAAAACAGATTGAGATGCCAAGTGCACAGTCTTCTATGGAGTCGCAGTGGAATGGCACATAAATGCATTTTATTTTCTGTACTGTCCTTCCGTGTGTCATCATCATTCCATGAGCTGTTCCATCTACGACAGATACAGTTGTTTCCGTCAGAAATTGTAATAAATGTTTGCAATGAAAGCAAGCCATGTTGAGCTCACTTTTTTTTTGCTGAATTAAATATTTTGGATATCTCGTATACATGCAGAGAGAAGTGTGGTGGAGGAGGAACAGACTCTCAGCAGTCCTGCAATAGATAAACCATCTCAGCAAGGGTTTGCAATGAAAAATAACACCGTCAGCTCACAAACGTAGGTGGAGTAGAGTTGAGCACAGCGCACTGTCATGGATGTGCTTGTGCATGTGAATACTTTTAATACTTTCACCTTTTTGCTTTTCCTTTAGGTTTTTGCTTTATAAACAGATGTATGCATACCTTATTGTATGAAGTTAATAATTATGCAAACTGTATAATGTTGGTTTACTGAAATTAAAAAAAGTACTCGAGTTTCCAGGCAGATGTTTATTTATCAAATGCATGAAGACAAAAAAGTTTTGCACAGCAGCTTTAAACAAGCCAATGTTTCTTTGATCTTCATCGACAAAAAAACACAAGTTTCAGAAATATCATCTCCAAAGTGTGTTTATCACAGGTTTAGTACGACATGCGGGCGAGTAATGATGACCTCTGGCTGAACAATCCCTGTAATGGTGTGCAAATTCTCATTACTTACAGTGATGTTCATCTCAAAGGAAGGTTTTGTGTGGTTGCCCACTTCAGCAGAGGAAAATAAGAGACACGCTCTCCATTTCTTTATGCCACATCCCAGTGGAATATGTATATTTAGCACTGTTCCTCAGGTGCCGCTGTGGATTTCTTTGTGTTGTGTCTAAACAGACAGCAACAGCTGTGATCGGTCCACAGGCACCCTATCCCGGGATTATTAAAAGATATGATAGCTTTGCATCCACTGGGAATTAATGTAATAGAGTGCAGCTCGGCCAGTCGTAATCAAGGAACACAACTATTTGCTTTTAACAGCTTTTATAGGTGCACAACTACCATTTCTGATTTTGATGCGATTCTCACACATCAACCATTAATATCTTTTAAAGGGATAGTTCACCTTCAGTTGCTGGTCCCTATTGACTTGCATAGTGTTTTTTCCCCTATTCTATGAAAGTCAACTGAACCAGCAACTGAAGTGAACTATCCCTTTAAAGGATATGTTAAGTATAATGGTAAATAAACAAAGAAATGCATGTGCTAATGCCAATTACAGATTGACATAAAAAGGCAAATCCACTGTTAGTATAATACTTTAAAAAAAGAATCTCAGTGATAAAAATAACATTTTATTCACATTCTAATAATAGTTGCCTATAAAAACGTGAAGTCATTGACCGTCCAGATGTAGGATCTTCTGAATGTCTTCATGTCCGGAGGAGAATTTTTATTCATTTATTTGCTGCTGTGTAGCTGTGCTCACATTTGTTCTTCTTTCATGATGACTGTTCCTTTCCCTTCCTCCAAGGCGTGTTTATCTCTTCTAATAAAACTAGAGGTAATATTTATTGAAAAGTCAATAGATAAAAGGTTTTTCTGTATATATGATTTGTTAAAAACAACAACACATAATGCAAGTGACTTACCTTTTGCATTTCTGCATTTGTTCCAGAGTCTCGGGCAGCACTTTTCCAAACGTCTCCGGCAGAAACATGTTTGTTACTGAGGAAGCAATGGTCAGGCTTCCCATCAGGATGTAGGGCAGATATTTGTTGAAAGTACCTTTATGAATAGAGAGAAGAACACGAGGTCGTTTCTCCAGTCCACTGTGATGCAGATGATTCGACACACAGGACAGGATTTACCCAGGAATATGATGTAAGGTGCGGTGATGCTGCCGATGCGAGCGGCTGAGGAGCACATGCCGATGCCCAGGTTTCTCAGCACGGTGGGATAGAGCTCGGCTGTGTAGATGTAGACCACGGTGAAGGACATGGTGAAGCCAAACTTACCAGCCATCTCTAATGCCAGTGCCAGAGTATGCAGACCTGTGAAAGAGCCTCTTCATTATAATGACCACAGCATTTAATAAAACAGCCTTGCCTGATGATCAGCCGTGGCTCGTCTGTAACTGTGACGAGACATAAATGACCCACACCCTGACTGAAAACATGAATTCTGAAGCAGTTATGTTTATTTACTGTATACACTCTTAAAAATGCTGGGTTAAATATAACCCCGCACTGGGTTAAAAAGGGACAAACCCAGCTATTGGGTTGTTTTGACCCAGGAGTTGGGTTCAAAACAACCCAACAGCTGGGTTTGTCCCTTTTTAACCCAGCATTTTTTTCAGCATTTTTTAGTGTATAGTAGCCTACATTAGAACGTCTGGGGTCTGAGTGTGTGCAGTTTACACTGTACAGCAAAACATATGGTCATTTTCCAATTATCACAGACCTTATTTTACTTATAACTTTAAATTAAAAATTTATTATGAATCCCCATGGGAAAATCTTGACGGACCCCGTAGTAAATTAGTCTTTTGCCGTCACAGCTGCAGCACTGAATATAGTTCTGTAGTGTTTGCTTCATGTTTGTTCTGAAAATAGATGACTCTCTTTATCTCACACAAATTCCTCCATAACTCGTTACATTCTACAACATTCAGAGGCAATAAATACTAAGGTAATTCTAATATAGTATTAGAGCACTGAAACATTAGAGCGCCACCCTCAGGCTGAATAAAGACCAGACCTCTGCCAAAAGTGTTAAAGGGGTCATATGATGCTGCTAAAAAGAACAGTATTTTGTGTATTTGGTGTAATGAAATGTGTTGTGATTAGAATATAAAGCTTACAAAATGACCCAGGATCTGCTGCTAGCGCTGAGGATTGAGTATGATCTCTCAGAAAAATCTCTGAACAAGGTAAATGTACCCGTTCAGACATACAGTACCAACCTTTTATGCATCCACACAAGACTTGACATATCTACAGCTGTATTCCTCCATATAAGCTGTAAATCTGCAAAAACTCAGATATATGAAAGTGCCCTGAAAACCAGTCCAGCTCTCTTTAATAAATGTGCAAGTAATAGGCTTATGGTCCAAGTCCAGTTTTACTTGCAGAGCGTAAGCTAATCCTCGAGCCGTCATAAACTCACTGGCATTCAGAGATGTCTCCTGGACCAGGATTGGGTCGATAATGCTCGAACTCAGTCCTCTGTGTGCTTTTAGGGTTTTATAATAAATTCTTTCAATTCCACCGTCGCGTGTCTTCTGTATTGCTCTCGCTTACTCACTGCTGCTATTGTGCTGGCTCTTATATCATAAATCCTCTGCTAAATGAGTAAATGTACAGCTCTCATAGTTCCACCAACACTGTCCCTTTCTGTAAGTATTGTGAGCAAAAGATGCATGGACAGGAGTGTTTTACTCTTCGAATCTGAATGTAAGGCTGATTTTCAAACAGAATCCCCCGTAGGATTTTGACAGTATTGTGTGTGTAAGCTCTTACTTTCAGGAATCAGCTGCAGCAGGAGCAGAAACCCTCCTCCGATGACGAGGAAAGCAGACAGGACGGGTCTCCGAGGACAGCTCTTCAGGAGAAGCGTGGACACCATGTAGGCAGGCACCTCAGAGAGCGCGGATAGGAAGCAGTTGAGGAAGGGATCGCCGCTGAGGTTAGAGGTATTCAAGGACAAGCCGAAATATCCAATGTTGATGGCCATCCTATCAGAGGAACAAAGAGACTCTCACTGAACTACAGCACATTAAACACACAGTCTCATGTGTGCGACTGGATGAATGTCTCACCACAGCAGTAAACATAAGAACGTGGTTTTGCGGATATCTCTGGTCCGTAGAACGTCGAGCGCGCTGAACTTGCTGTTCTGGGATGCCGCCTCTTTAACCTAGCAATGACCACACAAACACAGATTCACTGTTCATAACACCTCCCAGCTGACAGGGAACGCTTAGGACAAAACAGTCTTAAAGTGATGTTTATGCAACATTCATATAACATTATCCACATTTGATGTATGTTCTCATAATGTTGAGAGGAAACGCTCTTAACATATTAAAAAATGTGTGTTTTAAATGTTGAGAGAACATTCAAATGTAATGTTCTCATAACGTTTTCAAAATAACAGAATGGAATGTTCCTCTAACGCTCGCATGACCAAGAAGAATCGTTCTCAATAAATAAAAAAACGGGATATTTTGAACGTAAAAAAACATTCAGAAATAACGTTTTCATAACTTAATGTTAGTAAAGCGTTCTTAGCACATTTTTTATTTTTATTTTAGCGGGGTTGGTCTGCACAGTGCAGCAGGAGCAGAAGTCAGACCTCGGACTCACTGAAGATGACCTCTGGCGTAGAGACTTTGTTCTTCTCCGCTGCTTCTCTTACTATGGCCTCAGATTCCAGCACGCGTCCCTGAGAGAGAAGCCATCGCGGAGACTCCGGGATCAGCCTGTGCATTTGTTCAGGGAAAAAAGGAGTAATGGAGAGCAAAAGAAAGTATGATATTGTAGGGAAGGACTGAAGGTGGCCAATGATGAGAACTGCACCAATTCACAAGACGCACTCACACTAGACTTTCAGCATGAGAAACACTGCATGACACTGCAATGGGCCAGATGTGACACCATGCCTTGAAAACTACAATTCAACATATAACAAATTATAACAAATCCAAAATGTAAAAGCTCACAGTCCACTTTCCTGCAGTGCTTGTGTTTCCAGTATAGTGTAACGTGACTGTAGCTTAAACCCTTCTGGTTTTCTTGGACTCACCACCACAGTGGGATGTAGACCACCGTCAGGCCCGACAGAACCCTCAGTAGAGACCTCCAGTCACGGACGGCGAAGGCGATCCACGGCAGCACCATGTAACCGATGCAGTAATGCAGAAACGCTCCCAGCGTCGTGAAGAGCACTCGCAGGGATTTACTCAGTACTTCACTACCTGTGAACATACCCAAATCTAATCAATATAATAACATTCATACAGCATGTGGGTGAATATCTAAAATATCCCACACACACTCTTAAAAACAAAGGTTCTTTATTGGCATTGATGCTTCCAGAAGAACCTCGAACATGCATGAACTCTTTCCAACGCACAAAAGCTTCTTTATAATGGTCTTTAGATTATTAAAATGTTCTTCACTGAAAGGATCTTTGGGAAACCAAATGGTTCTTCTATGGCTTCGCTGTGAAAAACCCAATTTAAATCCTTTATTTTTAAGAGTGCAGACTCTTAAACATGCTATTCCAGCAGATTATACTCACTTTCCTTCAATGACATCTCATTTTATAATATGCTTACCGAGCACAAACGCTGTGATGTACAGGGATATTTGGAAAGTGCCAATAAAAAAATAGAGAATGCAAAAGAGCAGCCACGAGTCGGAGAAGGACTGCGCGAGGATCACTAGTGCTTCAGCCGCCAGAGACGCGAAGAGAACCTTCTTTCTGCCGAACCTGAGATGCCA